CCCGGGGAGCAGTTGGGGGTTCGGTGCCTTGCTCAAGGGCACCTCAGTCGTGGTATTGAAGGTTGGAGAGAGCGCTGTACATTCACTCCCCCCCACCCACAATCCCTGCCGGTATGAGACTTGAACCCGCAACCTTGGGTTACGAGTCCGACTCTCTAACCATTGGGCCATGACTTCCCTTACAATTACACACTTAAAATGCTCAAGCTCTTTAAAGTCGAAAAGATTCTGACTGTAAATATTTTTATCATTCATTACCTGGTAAAAATTGTTATTAAAGTGATTCCTATGATATCATTCCTCTGTGTTGTTGTTGTTATAGTTGTGTTGTCGACTCAGAATTAGAACGATTATTAAAAATGTATAATTATAGTTATTGTCTCTGATGTGAATGGGCCTTGAGAAAGCACTTGTCCGTTTCTTCTCCATCATAAAGACATTGACAAAATGTGAGACCATAATTATGAGCGTTGTGCCTCAAGATAAAATTTAAATCCTTTTGCTGGTGTATTTTCCAATATTGTTAATGAATCAGTAAATTAATTTCAAAATGAGACCACAGAATCACTCAGGTCTATGGCAACACACCTACTTTGAGGCAAAAACTAAAGCACTACTTCCTACTAGTCTCTTACCATTGTATTGTTGACTCTTTCATTTAAATTTTCTGGCCATGTCCATTTCCAAACTATTACTAAACATCTTGTTTATTCTTAAATACAAACCTGACCAATACAAAAAGTCCCCCTCTAGACAAAAAAAAGGTTTAGTTAGGTCTATCCATAACTAACCCACTTACTTAGTTGCTCAGTTTTTAAGTTGATCAGTTTCTCAGAGCTTACATATTGGCAGTGTCTGCATCCAAAAAAAATAACTCAAAAGAAACTGTCCGGCAATGAATGCATGGTATTGTACCATTTTTTTTGTGATCTCTGTTTCTCAAGATTTCCGTTCTTATGTCAAGATTGCGTCGTCATGTAAAGTTTTGATATAAGAACAAGGAGAAAATCTTGAGGCAGTTTTAGAATCACAAAAGAATATCTGATAAAAATGGATGCTATGCATTCATTTTGCAGTTAAGTACAGCACTTATCATGGCACAGGTGGCTGCAGAATGGTTAATTGTTAAGGTAAAACATACACAGGCTGGTCTCACCTCCAGTGTAATGATTTAGAGTAACGGAGAGACTGTTTTCAGCTCCATGTCTCTCAGATTTCTATGGGTGTGGGTTACCTGGTTAATGGTTTCTTCATATCCAGTCAGATCGCTCTCTGGCTGTGGGCTCGCTTCTTCTTCTACTGTGTAATAATAATCAGTCTCTGTGGGGGTGTGGTCAGCCTCTGAGTAAGCAGGATCTACGTCCTGATTGGAGGAGGCCGAGAGATGGGTGGGTTGGGGAGGAGGTAAGCAGATATGAAGGGGAGAGATTGATTAGTATGAAACAAGCTCAAGTCTGATGAACTTGTAGAAAGAAAAGATCAATGTGTTTTTGCCAACAGACACACAAAAGCGCCATTGATCTTATAGTAAAATCAGAACAGGAAACTTTTGCAACTGGAATCAAAAATCTTGTAATAAGCCTTTGCATTGTGAAAAACTTATTTTAATAGCCAAGATTTGCTGTCCCAGATTTTCCTTTCAACCTGATCTGGGTTAATTAGCCACATTGCCATGTCAAGGATAAAATATAGTCAAGTTGGATCAAAACGTTAAAGTTGTTAACGTTGGTGTCAATAGTCTCAGACCATTGAAACACTACTGACAACAGTAGTAAACAACATTCGGACATTTGTCCACAATTTCAGATCTTCAACAAAGACAGAAAGAATTGATAATCATGGAGTGCAGCGTCACAGATTTGCTGTTTTAAACAGGATCTTTTCTGTGAAGCTGCTTCATTCACATACTACTGACAGGACAGCATTTAACAAACAACACATAAAAGAGAAACAGGCAGAAATCATAAAGTGAGACGAAGAAAGAGACTCGTTGTGTCATGTGTAACATTGAGCTCTACCAATGACTCTGACTTCTTATGTTTCTTAACTGATCATGCATGCTCTAATCGGCATTACCTGCTGATCTACTTTTTAAAAACGAACCGGTTAGATAGTGTAGGTTTGGAGTGAAAGGAAATAAAACGAAAGACAGACAAAAGACTGTACAAATAGCCATGCGGTGATAACACAGTCTATACCGCTTATCATATCCTAAATGATCACATAGATCATTTGGTATATGAAAGGGTGGAGGAGATCCAGTGGGTCTGTATGTCTCCAACCTCATAGCTGGCCAACATCATGATACCTTTATGGTTTTACACACTTTTACACAATTGAAAAAAAAAATCATTATTTGTTCTTCTGCGCCTCCCTGATTCTGTTTTGAATGACATTAATACTGAAAATGTTTGTAAAACGTGAACGGTCAGATGTAGGACCTTATTCACAAAGCACGTCAGAGAATGTGTTGCATCTGTGATTTTTCAACATTTTCAATGAAGACAAATCCCAGATCAACACTTCCTCTGAGATACTTTATGAACGCAGTCCTGAACTACCAGGATGGTGAGGTTGGAAATACAGCCAACGCGGGCTCTTGATTTTGTACCTGTTGATAACCATTGGTGGGTTTCTTCTTGGGTATTTCTGGAGAAGACATGGTCGTGCCACTCACAGCAGCCTTGTTGAAGGCTGGGAAATTTTTGGACATTGATTTGATGTTATTGACATCCAAGACCTTAGGCTTTGAAGGGAGAGGCAAAGGCGGGGTGGGTTTGAAAGCAACAGGTTTTTGAGTTTTAGTGACTTTGGTTGGAACCTTTTCTACCACAGGTTTGGTCGCTTTAGGCTTTGCAGGTGATGCATTGGCTTTTGTTTTGTCTTTGGCTGGTTGTGGTTTGGTCTCTGCTTTCTTCGCAGTTGTCTCTGATTTCGTTGCTATTGCTGCCTTTTCAGTCTTTGCTGTTTTCGCACCATTGCCATTAGCTTTAGCTTCTCCGTTTGCTTTTTTCTCCACAGCTGCCTTCCCATTGCCATTGTTATTGGCTTTGCCATTGCTGCCAGCCTTAGCCTTACCATTAGCTTTAGCATCACCATTATTGTCTTTCCCATTCACTTTAGCTTGACCGTTATTTTTTCCATTGTCGTTTGCCTTCTTTTTGTTGTCATTCTTTGGGGCCGGTGTTGCTTTTGGTTTAGATGCTAATTTAGAAGCTAAAGTAGGTTTTAACTTTGGGATCAAGATTCGCGCAGCAGTAGGTTTGGCCTTTGGCTTTGAAGTTTGCTTGGCTTTAGCTGGAGCAGCTTTGGCTGGGGCAGTTTTTGACTTATCAGCTTTTCCATTGTTCGCCTTTCCCTCCTATTTGATTAATATTGTTTTTATTTAAAAGCATAAATGGTCAGGTTGGCGTTGATGAAAAGAGAGTGAATGAGAGAGAGATAGACAGTGGAAGACATCAGGGATGGGTGGGATTGAAAGCAGTGGGGATGGACAGAAAAAGGGAGAGAGACAACAATGAATTTAAGATCACTGGTGCTTGAATCACTGACTGAGATTTTACTGGCATTACTGGATACAGTATGAAGCTAAGTCAGATTTAGTTGTTTATATTAATTTCATAAGTTTAGACTTCGTAAACTATATAATACCTACAGAAAGATAAACAATTTGATACTGTTTTCTCCAATAATGCCAATCTCCACATTAAAAAAGCAGCATGTTGTGCGCATGGGGACGTAACGCTGTGAGGCACTGGGGAAAAGTTTGCTCAAATAGCATCTGCTGATAAAACTGATGCATGGCTGGTACACTGTGCTGCCCAACTGCACAAAAAGGAAAGGAAGGGACATAGTCATAATACACCATTCATAATCCCATTAAAATGACATTGCTAGCATGTATCAAATCATTAAAGGAACTGTTTAAGCAAATAACATAGAAATTGTAATACTTATTCAAATATTGTTCATTACACTAATCAATATGAAAGGAATGAATGGCGTAGACTACCCAGATTAAGATGATAGCAAAAGCGCAAACTGCAGAGAATAAAACAGGCATATTAATTAAAGACTAATCCTCAAGTTGACACATACTGAGCTAAATTAAACTAGTAAAAGTTAGCTATACTCACAGTTAAACACAAAATAGCTCTTTAAACAGCTCAGTGAGCACGCAAGATAAAGAGATGACTGTAAGAAAAACAGCCCTAAAAATAAGTGATAGTACAATGTTGGCCAAAGTGAAAGTAAACCTATAAAGTGAAGAGATGGATATGAATAAACACATAGACACAGACGCTTGTTGTACATGATAAAAGCACAGAGTGACACAAGGGAACTCACAAGCTTTGTTACTCACACAACAGGTGAAATGTAAAAACATGCAAATACACATAAGAATAAAAAAAAAAAAATCAGACTTAAGAAGAATAATTCCATGCAATTGTGAAGAATGTAAAGTGGAACTGTTTAACTGAGCTATCATGTCAGTATCAAATCAATAAGTTGCAATGACCTTACTTACATGCACATGAAAATTCTAAATGATATTGGAATTGGCTCATACACTGAAATCTATTACTTAAATTACTAAGAAGAATTACTGAATTGCAGTAATTAACAAAAATATCGACTTCCTCCGTAAAATAATTCATATGAAAAAATGTCATTAAAAAAAAGTAAGGTAAATCAGAATTAAACAAGCTAATGAATATATAATTTTAAAAATTAATTAAAAAAAAAACACTTAATTAAAAAACGTAAATATAAACTTATAATTTTCATAAATATAAATTAGATATAGAATAAATATAGAATAAAATATAATTTATCCTATATAATATACATACTTGGATCTATACACAGTACTTTCTCTGTTTAGTAAATCAGATTTTTTGACTTTTTGAGCTGTTGGTTTAACACAGTGGGGCCATGATCAATGAGTGATATAGTGTGTGTGTGTGTGTGTGTGTGTGTGTGTTGTGCCTCCAGTGCCCCTTAAAATTCCACATACACACAATCATGTACTGACCAACACAATCTGACACTATACAGGTACAAATATATGACAAAGGACAACATGTAGATGACACAAGCAACATCAATATAGTGTGACAGGTGATGGGCGAGGTGAAACGAGAGGTGGGACATCACACATGACGATGTGAGACAGGTGTGAACAGGAAGGAGAGGACCAATGTACTCAATTGAAAGAGACGGGTGAGTTTAACATTACACTCTCTGTGTCCAATTGGTTTTTGTCAAAACCATGTATACATTGTATACATTAAAGAAATTTAAAATTTCAATTTGAACCCACAGCAATGTCATAGAAATATTTGCATACTGACTTCTCTTACTTCTTTCATTTATTTGCATACCATATTGTGATTTCTCTATATTTAGATGTCTATTTTCTATTGTATATATTCAAGTAAGAACCAAAGCCTACAGCCTCAGTTTACAATATTTTATCTTGTTTTCCAGTCAACATCTTTTAAATAAATACTTTTAATTGAGAAGTACTGCATACAACTGCAAAACTTATTTTTTTAGATTTCCCAGAAATTTTGTTTGATCTGCTTTGTTAGCGGGATGCGTAGAAAAAAAGACAAAAATACTGATGAAAAAACTATGAAATGCATCTAAAATGTTAACAATATTCTTTTCTGCACAATTCCAGTTATTACTCTCCGTCTCTTTCTCCACCTCTCTTTTCTGATTCACTCCACTTTCGCTCTCCCTCTTTACCTCTTTGGTGGGGTCCACGGCTGGGACGGAGGGAGGGACACTCGTAGTTCCTTCATAATAATAGGGGGATTCATAATCATCCCGCTCTTCATCAAAGTACTGAGAGACATGGGGGGAGAGAGAGGAGCAGTGAAGCCAGAGGAATGCAGGGAAGGAGAGAGAGAGGCCATGTGAGTGACAGAAAGGGAATGTAGCAAATGACAAGAGTGAAAAAAGAAGACTTTGGGAAGAGAAAACGAATGAGAGAATAATAGGGAGAGAGGAGAGAAAAGTGAAGGATGAGTAAAGTGAGATGTAGGAGTTAGAAATAAGGGCAAGATGAAAGCATGATGGTTTTATCATTTGTGACCCTGGACCACAAAACCAGTCTTAAGTCGCTGGGGTATATTTGTAGCAATAGCCAAAAAAACACTGTATGGGTCAAATTTATTGATTTTTCTTTTATGCCAAAAATCATTAGGATATTAAGTAAAGATCATGTTCCATGGAGATATTTTGTACATTTCCTACTGTAAATATATTAAAACTTGATTTTTTTATTAGTAATATGCATTGCTAAGAACTTCATTTTGACTACTTTAAAGGAGATTTTGTCAATATTTCGATTTTTTTGCACCCTCAGATTCCAGATTTTCAAATAGTTGTATCTCGGCCAAATATTGTCCTGTCCTACATCCATACATCAATGGAAAGATTATTTATTCAGCTTTCAGATGATGTATAAATCTCAATTTTGAAAAATTGACC